GACTTGAAAGAGCTGTATCCATCATCAAAAGTCTTATTCTGTTCCTTCGGTGTAATATGTTCATATTTTTGCTTAAGAAGTGGTGTTGAAGAAAATATAGGTGATATACCAGAAAAATTCAATTCATTCTGAACGTTTCTTTCTTTGAATGGAGTGGTCACGGCGACTGAATGGTCGTTTGACAAATCTGATTGCAAATATATGTGTTGCAACTCATTTAAAGCCTTCTTCTCTAATGAGAAAGGTAAATATACTAGATATACTTACTGGAGGTATGATGAGATGATTGAAGCTGTAAGTTTTCTTGTTGACACCGTTTATGTACGTTTTGCCAATAAAGTGTATCACCAGGTTGTAGGTATTCATATGGGCACCAATTGCGCCCATTTAATAGCTGACTTCTTCTTGTACTGTTATGAATTACAGTTTATGACCAAACGCAGTTAAGACCCGTCTAAATTGCATTCAATTGACAAATTCAACAACACGTATCTTTATCTTGATGATATTTTTTTCGTTAAATGATCAAGAATGTTCTAAATATACTTCGTGTGGGTTCGTGGTCTAGTGGTTAAGACCGATGGCTACAGTGCTGAAGGTCCCGAGTTCTATTCTGACTCGGGGCGCTGGAAATTTCAGTACATCAGATTTTCGCCCTCCCACACACATCTCTGGTTCCCAGACCGGAGTTTAAACTAGAATGGGTACTTTGGGGGCCTCGGTAGGTCAAAGTTGCCCCCTACTTTGACCTGGAGATCAATCTTCTTAAATCTCTGCGGTTTGTCTGTTCCCGCCGAGCAGCCCGGTGGTTCTCTCCGAGTACTTCGGCTTCCTCCACAATAATAACAGACTGTACGGTGTCCTAGCACTCCCTTTGTGTTGGGGTGGGAATTGTCCTTGTAAATATTGTTGTAAATACGTTAGTGACACATCTCCATTAATCCCGATTGGGAGTGTACACGGATTCCACTGTACCCTCGCAACTCTCGAGGGGTGCTCCATAATAACGAAGAGATCTACGCACATACATACATACATACATACAAACATACTGCCGAAATTTACCCAAAGGAACTTACTTTGAATAAACCAAATATAAACGGTAATAACTGTCCTTTCCTAGATTTAAATATTTCAGTATCACACAGGAAACTCTACACAAAAATTTACAACAAAAGGGACTATTTTTCTTTCCCTATTGTTAATTTTCCTTTTTTTTTTATGGGGATGTCCCTTTGGCACCATCTTACGGTGTTTATATATCAAAACTCCTTCGCTGTGCCCGTGTCTGTAGTGACGTTTTGGTTTTCAATGAACGTAATCTATGAATTACTAGTAAATTATTAAATGAGGGATTTCGTTAACACAAATTGCTTAAAACCTTTACTATATTCTTCCATAGCATATCCTAATTTTTACGGAGATGTTGTTTACCGAGCCCGAAAACGTAGATACGATCCGGCTAAACTTATAGATCCTTTGAATAAACTTATTCTCAAAAGTTACCAATTCAACATTGTAATTAGATCTTTGAATATTGTTTTATTGGTATAATTACTAAACTAATATTATTGTTATATTTACACATACATATGCACATTCACGGTTCTACAATCTGTCGATACCTGGTTTTTGGCATTGCACAAGGTCATGTATTCTCTGACTGTTAATGACGTCTTTACACTAAACCCATTGGATGTTGAATGTGTACTGATTGATATTTTAGTCTTAGATACATCCGGTTTTATTAGTTGTTATTAGCTTTGAACTAGCTGTCGGTAACTGGGAGTACTCTCAGATCTGTACTTAGTTTTTTTTGTGGGGATGTATAAATACCCTACCTCTTCCGGTCTGTGTTTTTGTTACTTGTTTTTCTGCTTTGGATCGATCTAACGAGTTATGCCATTTTCAACTGATTTTTATAGTTTGTTCATATGTTGTGCTGTAGCACCACTGTCCAAGGTTATGGAAGGTTTGGGCGCCCTCAAACATAATTAACGCCGCCACATTCTGTAGGAGCCTGTAATTCAGTGGTTGTCGTTTGTTGCTGTATATCATATTTGTTTTTCGTGCATTGTTTTGTACATAAATCAGGCCGTTAGTTTTCTCGTTTGAATTGTTTTACATTTGTCATTTCGGGGCCTTTTAAAGCTGACTATGCAGTATGGGTTTTACTCATTTTTGAAGGCCGTATTGTGACCTATAGTTGTTAACTTCTATGCCATTTGATCTAGAGTGTAGAGTAGTCTCATTGGCAATCATATCACATCTTCTTGTTTTCATATTATAGTTTTTTTTTAGTTTAAACACTCAAATTCAGTCTTTGGTTAAAGTATTTTAGTCATCAATTACTTTGTCAAACACTCATGGAATTTGGACAGAATCTTGTTTATGACCAAACGACCGTATACAGAGCAAAGTTTTGAAGGCACTGGCTACGATTACGTTGAAACGTAACGTAACAATAACAACAAAAAAATACTGTTACGTTGGACACTCATTACCAGAATGCTATGTTGGATTAGGAACCGATTAATTACGAACGTAACAATAATATGTGTGTCTATGGTTACGTTGATTTTTGTAATGTTTGATTTATCAAACTTTTATTATTGTCATTATTATTATTATCACTATTAAACAAATAATGTTAAAACAGTTTTGTTTATGAATTGTTTTAATGTTCTTCAAGATAATACTACAGTTTAGTAGTACCAAGACGAAAAATATAGTTCAGTGTAATTAGGAAAGACATTTGCAATGGAAAGAATCCGTTTTGTTTGCTTCCCTTCTGAAACAAATAATGTCTTTTTCAAGAAATTTGGAATCAAACTTTAAAAAGATAACTACACCATCCCCCTCCAAAAAAAGATGAATGGTCGGTACCTTAGCCCTGTTACAAGTTGATGTCTTTAGTCTGGAGGTGTATATATGAGCGGCTTCCCACGGAACCTTTTATGTCTATTTGAAGCTGTAGAAAAAGTGCGAAAACGTAATAAATAACTGCGCGCAAATGTAATGCACTGAGTTGAAGTTCATCCCACATCTCCTTTCCTTCATCCGGGGTGGGGTGGGGTGGGTGGGGGTCTCGGTGGTTGAGTTGTTTTAGTAATCGAAATACTGTATCACTAGAATTTCAACACCAAGCTTGTGAATCCGAATCCCGCACGTGGCAGCCAGGTACGCTCGACTCCAATCTTAATTGACTAGAATTGCCAGTTTTCCTACCAAAGGTCGGTGGTTCTCTCAAGGCACTCCGGCTTCCTCCACCAATAAAAACTGACCGCCACGAAATAGCACGACAGTGATGAAAGTGGCGTTAAACACCAATCAATTATTCAATCAATCATTCATACCGGTATAATAATGCATGAGTAGAAAATTTTATAGCTATTGTTATGAAATACCTTTTTTAAAATGACTGTGAATTTAATTGGTATAGGAATTGAATAAAGATAAAGCGGCAATTCAAAAAGAGGGAATAAGTATACAGGTATAGCTGTCTTTTGCAGTAAAAAGTGTTTTATCATATTTTCAACACAACAGGGAAATTTGTCAACTAGCTCCTGTATTAATGAATCTAAATCTTCCTCCGAAATGTTTGAAACATTGACATTTGTTAAACTGCACTTTCTCGTATTTTCTATAAATTGCACTTTCGGTAAAGTATCATAGGAACGGTAATTCTCATATTGAAAAACTATGTGCATATAAAGTAAACTATGTGCATATATAGATAAAAGTATGTGCATATATAAGAAATCTATATGCATATATAGAAAAACTATGTGCATATAAAGTAAACTATATGCATATATAGAAAAAATATGTGCATATAAAGTAATCTATATGCATATATAGAAAAACTATGTGCATATAAAGTAAACTATGTGCATATAAAGTAATCTATATGCATATATAGAACAACTATATGCATATAAAGTAAATTATGTGCATATATAGAAAAATGTATGTACATATAAAGTAATCTATATGCATATATAGAAAAACTATGTGCATATAAAGTAAACTATGTGCATATATAGAAAAAGTATGTGCATATATAAACATATTTTCACTTAAGGCAGCTACGGCGTTCCATATACATATATTAAAAAAAAATCGTCTTGTACCTGAGGTTGAAATAATGATTCGTGCCGTCCAGCAATAAGACCCGTGATGCTAAGGGGAAGGGTTGGTGTTCCGTTTGAATGTTCGGGGTGTATAAAACTCAGTCATGTACAGTCTGAAAGGGGATGATTCCCATTGTGATTTTAATGTCACTCTCTCTGTACGTAAAGCACTTAATTCATATTTATATTTTTATTTGTTTAAATTTATTCATGCTAACTTATATCCAAAGCGTTGATGACAAAGCTATAAAACATATATCACAATGCATAAACTCATAAACATAAACAACGACAATTGTTTGAAATGGCTAATTTAAAATTATGAATATTCATTCATAGTCGCTTGAATTTTAGTGATAAAAATATGAAAAAAAAAAAAATAAATAGTGGTATATATATATATATACCACTATTTTTTTATTTTTTTCTACATATTTTTATCACTAAAATTAAAGCGACTGTGATTTATTCAAGGTAGAGGTACCTTCTTTTCTGTTCTTTTCTGTTTTTCTTGGAACGTTCATGTGATACATATCATTTTTCTCTTTTAAAAATTATGTAAAAGACTATGCTGATCAATTTCATATATGGTTGCAATTTAACATAAAATACTGTTTCCTTTGGAATAAAATATTTTTCAAAATCAAAATTCATAATTATCTTTTCAATTTTTTTTTTTTTGTAGAATAAATTTATTTCTAGTGCATACTTTATTAATGGTATTTTGATAACATCAATTTTATTTGTTTTCGAATGTTTTCTAAACCGATAACCATGAAACGTGACGACAGAATTATTCACAGAACATGTTATTTTTATTACTTATTATTCTTGGTATATACTTACATATAACAGACAGAAAAAGAGCATCATATGCATTTTAGATACATGTATATACACAATAACTTATATAACTAGGGAAAATGACTTAATTCATTGACAGCCCATAAAAGCACATCAAGACGCACTTGATTTATTGTTTGAACACCTGATCTAATTAGTTACCATTTAAATTAAAAAAAAATATCCTTCATTCCCTTTAATATTCCAGGCAGATTATTGATATTTCTGGAGTAACTTGTTTTCATATTTTCATCAAATATTTATTTGCAGATTATTGATTTATATGACTTACAGTAAGCTCTAGATATTTCCTTTTGTCGTCCTAAGGTCAAGGAACTGTAAATGATTGATCTCACATATTTCTTATAAGATTCTGCATACAACTTGGATATTATTAGTTTTAACTGGTTTTGAACATAAAATAACTGCATATTTGTACAGAATACATTCATAATGAGTATTTCATAATGATTGTTGTGTTAGTATAACTTTCCTTATTTAAATATTTTTATGATTTTCTTTTTTGGTGATTTTGTGTTCTTTGAATTTAGTAATGAACTTATCATGATATCTCAGAAAATGTCCTGTAAACATTTAACTGTCCGTAAAAATTCCAACTAAGAGCAATTTACAACAGAGACTTGCCGAGCAATTTGAAGAATACATTTTATTTTAATTTTATATTTAATTGAATATAATGTAGATTGACGATATTCTAAACCGTATATTTGGGTAAGATGTATGCCCAAAAGATCTGTTTGCAGAAAGGAAAAGTTATTGGCATATTCTATCAAATTACTTCTTATAACTTCATTTGTAAATGTATATTAGGGAGCTACCATTTGATTTTTATGGGGGGTGGCTAGGATGAAAAATTTTGTCTTGCCTATTTATTTTCCCCTCTATTCGGTCCTGCCTTTTTATTTTTCACTCTATTCGGTCCTGCCTTTTTTTTTAGTTTATCCTGACTTTTTTTTTACATAAATTGTCATCCTGACTTTTTTTTTGCAAATAATCTCATCCTGCCTTTTTTTTTACTCAAAAATCCTGTCCTGCCTATTTTTTTCAAATTTCATCCTAGCCCCCCCCCCCCCCCATAAAAATCAAATGGTAGCTCCCTTACGTATCACTTAAAACATCTAATAACAAATCCTATTGTATCATAACAAATTATCTATAAATGCAAAGAAAAACATATGTACAATGTATATGTTGCATCACGTATATTTGAAATCACAAAACATTTTTGTGTCCATAACTAATGAAAACGAACTTCAAATGGGTCATAATTTCCCAGATCCACTTGAGTCGACAATGCAACATGTGTGGCTCCATCCATACCTGGGGCTAACGTAACATCATCCCTTGTTTTATATTTTGTTCCGCCTATGCCAGAGTTACAATCAGGACATCTAGATTCTTCTGTTTCTCCGCCACAATCGCCGATGGCATAAATATGCCCTGAAAAATACGAATCAGTTGCAGATAAAGTTTGTATTTTAGAAATTACTGGTTTAGGATTCAATATTAAGGGAGCAAGTGTTTATCAGGTTTATATTGAGAAAAGGGAGACGAAAGATACCAAAGGGACATGAAACATGTTATGTATACAGTTCTCACCGAATATATGAGCGTGTTCGAAAGCAGCTGAATTACGATATTGACATTATTTAAATGGAACATGTGTATTCTTGATGTTTATGTTGGTAACAAATCATGCAATTGTACTTAAACAAGATTGTAAATCCCTGTTGCATGTGTAAACTTTGATTTTTCACTTTATGACCGTTTTCCTGTTGATGCTCTTCAATGAATTATGTTGTTGGCTTCCAAAAGTTAGTTTCAAGGTAACTAGATATATCGCGTGCACTGAAAACACGTTTTTATGAATAATAAGAAATCTATGAGATAGAAGTTTTAAATAAAATATGAAAAGATGGGTTTTACAATATGATTTAAGAAAATAAAAAGAAAAAATGGTGTCACCGAACTTGTTTCCTTGCTATAAGTAAAAAATTTCACTATCATTCCTGTATAAAATTTTTACTACAAGAGTGGTCTCCCCTCAAATGGCCGTTGAAAAATTGATGTTAAAAAACAAAAATGTTTGGGATTTGTTTAAACATTTTGGATAATGCAATATATCACTTATTTTTCTTTATACAAATAAATAGTCTTACACATAAATTGCTTGCAAATCTGTCTAAAAATTTGCAGATTCAGACAAAGAACTATACCGATTATGTACTGCAATTGTACAATCCAAGATGGTGGTATACAGCGAATCTACCTTAACTCTCAATGTGGCTACTTAAATATACTTCCATGGCTTTCAAGCTTTTAGGTCTGAGCGTTCCTGATGAAGGTAAATCTAGAATTCATAAAGTGCTATTTCATTCGTAATATACCTTTACTTGGTTTGTTATGTCTTTGTATGGTTTCTGTGGTTAACATATAGCAATATTTTACTTTATAATGTCTAACTGCCTTGTCCCTCCTTTGTCCTGAATAAACAACTTTTCGTCTAAAATGTTTACATTCGTATGCATAAATGTTAAAGGATTTACATGAATCGATGACAAAAATTATCTACCAAACAGAAATTACCGATTATGACAACTCATTGGATTTTAATATGAGTAACACAACAGCATTGGAACTGCAATCCCTTCTGGGTTACACGAGTTCTGTCTTCCGCTGATTCTTTTTTATTGCCCCCAAGCTGTTGTCCATTTATGTTTACCATTTGTCATATGATTTTCGTGAACATAATTTCAGAAAGTAACTTACCCATTTTACATTTGAACCAATGACCTTTCGTCAACCCCATAACGGTAAAAATTTGAATCCTTTTTTCCTCTGATATACCAATCGTAGTTAAAGGTATAACATCTTTCAAAGCTGTCAAAGTCGTCTCAACCTCACGTCGCCTCTGTACGGTTAGCCTCTTTCTGTCAGTTAAATATTGTTCAGCTAGCATTAATTCAACACTTAACTCTCTGGTCAAGGATGTTTCAAGAAACACATTCATCTCTTTGTACTGCATTAACTGGTATAGTAGTTTTAGATGATCAAGTTCATTTTCGATGTCAAGACCTTCTTGTTGTGTAAAATATCGTCGACGTATCAAAATAAATTCATGTACAGCATTCAGCTGATCCAAGGCTTTTTGATACATTGCATCATAGCGACCTGACCGCCTTTCATTTGTTTCAAAGTTCTCTGTTAATTCATTTACGTATTTCAAAATCTTTACTTGTTCAACAATTGTTTTCAGTGTGTTCTCGTCTACGGCTCCTGTTGTTAGTTCATTATGAATTTGTTTCATTTTCCTAGCATCTGTTTTCTCTAATTCTGATATACCCTGTTGTATACTCCTTTCTGTCGCTTCCATATCCGATTTGCTTACTAGAATACGCTGTTTTACTACTTCAATATTGTGCAATGTTTCTTTTATGATATTTCCGTATCTGAGATTTCGTCGAATGGGAGTTTTACATTTTGGACACTCTTTCAATTTGATTTGTTCGTCTTTTATTTCATCCATCCATTTATCCAAACCAGTTACTTCTATGGCATGTCCACAGTCTTCAAGCTGCACAAATTTTGCATCAGTATAATCTTTTGTTCTGCAAAAAAATAAAAATGCTTCATTTTCCGGTTCACAGATGCGACAGACTTTTGGACATGGTTCACCGCATAATCCTACACAAGGATGTTGACATCCAGGAATACGTTCCTTGCACGGTTGGTTGCATCTCGGTCTTTCGCAAGGAGAACTACAAATCTGGTCACATCTGTGATGTTCACATTGCCATTCGCAGTTCTCAGCGCATGGGCTACACTCCTCTCCACATTGCTTACCGCAATAGTTGTGTTTGCATCGATTTTTGCACTTTTCTTTACAAGGTGGACAATTATTACATTTTTCTTTGCATATATGCTCGCATATCAATATTCTGTTACATACTTCCTTACAGGTTTTGTGAAGACGTCCATTGTGACACTCACCGCATGATCCCTTACACTTATGTTTACATTGTAAAATTTCCCCACAAGGCTCTGGGCAAAATGCTGGTTTAGAATCCAGCAAGTGACAAGGGATTTTTGTTGAATGGTTGCACTGGCCAAGGATCTCTACTAGCATGGTACACTTATCGGTATGGCTATCTCCACAGAGATTTTGACATGCATGACCACACGAAAGGATTTTAACACATTTCCCCTCACATTTAAAGTCTGCTGGTTCTAGATAACACGGAACATTCTGTGTATGTCCACATTTCGGCATACGCTTTGGTACATTGACCTCACATGTTGCACAATCCTGATTACATTTCAGTGGACACCTGTGCCCCCTACTACACGTTTTAGTGCATGATTTTTTACATAGAATGTCCTTGTGTTCAAGATCTTTGATGTGACAAACACTTGGACACGTGTGCCCACATGTAAGACGATATTCGCACGGACGTCTACATCCGCCGCCAGGCGATCGCTTGAAATCTGAAGGAAATTCTGCGTTAACTACAGAGTCGTCGGCATCCGGGTGATTTTCGCAATGTAGACGAAGTTTTTTGCCAAAGAATCTGTTTTTCCTTGCATGATCAACAAATTTTCTCCATAAAGTGCTTTTTCTTGAGAGCATTTCAAAATTACCAATAACGTACAGACCTTTCTTGGCACGTGACATTGCTACGCAAACACGATTGTCTTCCTTCAGAAAACCAATTGTTCCATCTTCATTGCTTCGCACAAGAGATAGCAAAATTATATCATTTTCTTCTCCTTGGTAATTGTCAACTACTGTTACACGAACTCCTTCAAACTCTGCTTTGGGCATTCTATATTTCAGTTCAAAAAGTTGTCCTGAATATGTTGCTAATACTGTAATTTGTGACGGTAAATAACCTTGTAAAAGGAGATATCTGCAAAGCTCAACCAGATACTCCGCTTCATGTTTATTTGAATGGCTTCTGAGATCCTTTTCAGGAGATTCCGTTTCCCTATGATCGATAAAATATACGTCTTCAGATATTCCACTAATTTTGTCATAGGTCTCAACGACCTCATGATCTTTCAGGTTCGGATATATGATCTTCATCATGTTTGATATTTTTCGACGCATTCTATGTTGATGAGCAAGACACTGTACATCCAGTTTATTGTTTGCTAATCTTTCAAAAAGAGACAAATCAAGATTGTATTCACGAGCCAATTTATACACCGTTGGTTTTGGTTTTAGTTGTTGGTGATCACCAATCAAAATCAAATGCTCACATCGTTTACTGAGGGTTGTAACCACGTGTCCTTCGAGCACTTCTGCTGCCTCTTCCACAATAATTATTCTTGGTCCTATTTCTTGTAATACAGAATGATATCTGGCTGCACAAGTCGTGGTCATACCAATAATTGTTGAATTTCTCATAATAGCTTTATCCTCTTGCATCAGTATTTCATGATACTTTCTACATGATCGCTCGAATTCAATTTCTTTATCGCCGATTTTTTCTTGCAGATTGTCACAATAGACTTTCAACCAGTACCTATACATACGCCATCTTTCTTCAGGCAGTAAATCCCACATGTCATAAACATATTCGTCGATTTCAACATCTGTCATGCGATCGGTGGATGACAAAGACTCCCTTATCTTAGTCTTCAGTTGTTTATTTTTCTTTTTGGGATTCTGCCAGCGACATCCTTCTCTTTCAGGTCTTCTAAAATAAAGATCTAACTCGGATACATCTAAGGCGACCAATGATATATTTTTGCTCAATATTTTATTTAACTTATCCTCAAGTGATTCCTCTTCCTCGTCGGATTCTTCCATAGAAATCTGTCTTTGGGCTATTTCAACATCCCTTTCGTCAAGTACGTTGATGAAATCATTTGGTCTTCTCTCATTTTCATTACGGTTTTCCTCTTCATCTTCGTTTTCTCTACCATTATCTGGTTCAGGGACCACATCACGATTAGCAGCTTGATCTTTGTTTTCTTGACTTTCTTTGGCCTCATTTTCAAATTTAGGTTCGAATCCTAAAAATTCACCATAACCAAGCCATTCTAGTACAGCCGAGGTTTTCTGTGGTTTCTCCCATTGAAAATCGTACCCATACATATCACGCAAGATTGCCTCATACCCAGAAACAAGTTTTTCATAAAAGTCTCCCATTACATGTTTAATTGCGTCCTCGTGTAAAATTTCTCTTTTTGCTTTTTCAATTCGATCAGCAATCTTGTTGACCTTTACCTGCAGAGAGTTCATGTTGTGTTTAATTTCCATTTTACTAGAGTGAATTTCAAGAGGTACCTCCCTATTTAATCGCATTGTCATTCTTTTACTGTTTATGCTTAATGGCTTCATTATTTCGCTTGAACTTCTGCTGCCTAGTCGTAAAACATCACCACTGTAGCATTGTACTATACCTTCGAGAAACTGATCTAGGGCGTGGTTAGTATAACAAACAACAAGGATTGGACGGTTATCTTCAGCTCCCGTATCTGGATTCGTATTCCAAATATGCCGGTTATGAAGTAGACTTTTTATAATTTTGTGTCCGATATATGTTTTTCCAGTTCCAGGGGGTCCCTGTATTACAGCCAGCTCTTTAGATAGAGCCGTTTCTAACGCTCTGAGCTGAGATATATCTAGATGCAGAAGTTCAGGAGGAGGCCATGATGTTCGATCTGCAACATTTATATATTGAGCATCTCCGGATTTTACACTGAAAGGATATGCTTTGTTCGGTTCATTATGTTTCCTATCATCCAAAATAATGTCTTCGTCTACTAGGGGACGTAAATCAAATTTTGCATCCGGGCTACGCCGTAGGTATGCAGGGTTTTCAACATTAGGCAGACATTTGACAATATATTTTTCAAATGGCAAATCTCCTTCGTGAACATTTTGTAAACCAAGAAGTACATGTCTGTAAGCTTCGAAATATGCTGTGGTTTCTACCATAACGAAGACTGTATCTGGTGGTATAGATGACACTTCTTCGTAATCTTTTTCAAATTTAATATCTAATAGTCCTTTGCGGATATTATCCAAATTTCTATTTGAGACAGTTGCAAACCAGACTGTCCTGAAACTGTCAGAAGATAAACAGATCAATGACCCATAAATCAGATGTTTACTTTGTTCCCAGCGTATTCTGTGCATTCCTGGATAATTAAAGCTTATACGCCGACATAAACCATGATTATTACATATTGGACTTATAATTTGAACGTCACGATAAATTCTTAATTCATGTAATTTCGTGTCTGGTTTCATGTCGTTCACTGCAGCCATATATTCTCTGATACCATCACGTAACGGTGCAATAAAATCCTCGCGTAAAAGACGGTACTGAATGTCTAAATAATGATCTAGATTGTCATAACCTCCGAATGTTTTGTTATGACGTAACTTCGAAAGAGTTTCTGATTGCACTTCTTCTGTAGTCGGAAAAACAGGATAATCACGGAAATCATCATCTGGTTCTTCTTCGCTTTCGTCGTCACCTTGGTCTTTGAGATGTGATCTTTTTTGTCGTGTTGTGTCTTCTCTGTTCATGAGTTCTTCATACATACTCCACATATCATCATCTATAATGGTTGTATCGGATTTTATAACATTAATGTGGGTGTCAATGTAAGATAAAATTCCTTTAATTATAATGCGACATCTTGGCAGTAGTGATTTCAACTTTGTGAGAATGAAGAAGATATCGCGTAAAGTTGACCTACTTTCAATTTGTACTCTTATGGTTGGGCTCGCATCTAAGCCTTTTACAAATTCGACGAACTGATACAGGAATTCTGATCTCTCTACAGTCGTGAAAATGTCTATAACTTGTTGTGGTAAAGATTCGCATTCGCAGCATTTAGCGAGACATCTTACCAGCAGCAAAAACATTTCCTTATTTCCTTTAAAGGTCGTTTGGTCTAATGCTTTCTTAAGTGCAGAACTGTATTTATCAAAAGTTAACAATATTGCATTTGCTTCCTTCCCTTGCAATTCTTCTAATTTTCTGTATCCAAGTAGACGTTTCCATGGCACATCTTCTAGTGTGTCATGTTGGTGCTTTGGTACTCCACGACTATGTTGGTGATTTGGTACTCCACGAGTAGGTTTGTGCTTTGGTACTCCACGACCACGCACATGTCGAACCCCTCTCCCTTTTCCAATGCCCCTACAATATAGATGGCTTGTTATAAACATTATTTAGTTTCCTATAGGTTTCAAATATGTGTTTAATAAAAATAAATTATTGATGCATCTTAAATTTTTTAATAAAATCGACGAAAATCATCTATCATTTATTGGATCGATTTGTGTGTGGGGGTGTATTAACTTTAACCCGACGTCTATGAGTATGGGTTTCTTATTGTCAGAATGAGTGATATATATCTAGGTAACTATAAAACATGTAACTACATTTGCATGTCATTGTAGCTTATCTATATATACAACATACACAAAGAGACGTCCGTTTGAATATATGATTACTACCGGATTTGAGTAGTCCAGAGAGGACAATATTTCTTGGGGAAGTCATATGATTGGTTCTATCCAAATGTTCAAAATCTGCATCTCAACATCCCAAACATCTAACATCAGTTCTGTTATCAGTAAGTCATGTTGAAATGTGATAACCAGCTCAGGTTAAAAATTAAAACGTAACCTTGTCCTATGTTTCCAATTTGACAAATATCTCAAATCAAAAAGCGTAATGTCTGTATGGCCTACCGCTAAAGAGATAAACAAAGAAACCAATAAGAAAAATAAGAAAGGGAAGATTACTCCTATATAATACACTCAGACACTTGTCAAAATTGTAAAACGCATCCAGAGGATATAAAGTACAATAAAAAGAAAATTGTCGATATATTTAGTTTCTGTAACTAGTATGATACAATAACAAAAAAGGGTTAGGAAAGACAAATCTTACAAACAAAAGTGTTGAGCTCCAAACACACATAACAGTTCGATATGTTACAGACCAAACAACGTAAAGCTGCTGTTTTACGAACAAAATTTAGACAAAGGACTTTCGATTGGTGAAAGTAAAAGAAACTAAAATCAGAACAAAATGAAAAGGTCTTTTAATGGAATGGTAAAACAAATAATAATCATAATAATCAGAAAAAAATCGTAAGGTTTTTCAATGGAAAAGTAATAAAGACCTTAAAAATGTCTCTGTCAAAAGGCAAATACGAAATTTTGTTTTTAAGTACTGTTATAAGCGACATAGAAATGTGTTCTGTCTTACTGACCTCATTCATACATAAATCACTGTGAATATGTCTATGGTGAAAACTTGCTGTCGGAACAACACGACCTATACAAGGTACGAAAAAGAGGAAGTTCAATTATTTTTTTTATAATAAATTTTGCTAGCTATTTAACCCGGTTTAACCCACCATTTTCTTCGGAAAATGACTGTACTAAGTCAGAAATATGGCAGTTGTTTTCAGTCGTTCCATTGGTTGATAATGTTCGATTTTGTCCTTTTATTGGACTTTTGTTACATGTTTCTATGGAAGAATAACCGAGCTAAACTGTTTTGAATATGAATAAAGTGAGATGTGAATATACGTCATTTATACAGCAACCCAATAACACAGATCAAAAGACATGTAGATGTAATTTATGGTTGACAACAAAAGACCAATGTCTAAATAAAATATAATGAACATACCAAGCTCTAAATTGCTTATGGTATGTCATTAAAAAAGTTCGAGCAGCAGAAGAAAAGAGAGAAAATAAAGATTTTATATCTTATTATCTAGAAGAAGTTGAAATTGTCTTGTGTACCCTCTCACAATATTTTCATCTCAAAATATACATTATGTTTTTTATATAGACATTATAAAACATGCAGTTACACAGTCCAAGGTTCAGTTGGTGTATACCATAAACCACATTTTGATGTCAGAGCAAAAATATGTATAAATGAAGTTTGTAAACAGAAGTCTCAGCAGTGATTTTAAAACAAACTATTGTATTAAAATAGGCATCAGTATATATTTGATTTGAGTAATATAGATTCTTTGGTATAGAAAAATGTAAAACAAGGCCTTTTGGTCCATTAAATTTAAAAATCAAAAATGATAAATTCATATCAAACAAAATCCTTCAGATTTTCACAATACATGTCAGATATCAGTACTTTTATTTTTGAATTTTTCTTACTTAATGCGCAGAGCAAAAACTTCCAAAGTAGCCTCATTCTGAGATCTTTAATTGATATTTTGATATGAGACAAGTCTAACCCATATTTTGGTACAAGATTTCGTTTTTCTTTTAGGTCCATTTTGATCATATGGTTCCTCGAGTATTCAAGTATTTATACATCATTGGCTATCGTTTGTCGTGGTATGAGGACTCCTGGTGAAGATTACACCAAAATGCGCATCCAGCGCATCTAATTTATAAAGTATTATTACCATTTTGATGTCCTTTACAAACATGAAACACGGATAAGTATTATTTCTAGGTAGCGTTTGGTTCGTAACAAATTTTACTAAAACACATGTGTAAAATTACTGTTTAATGTAAAATACTCTAATGTCAACATTTTTATGATGTCATGGTGACATTGTAACTGACATTTCTGAACTGAAGTGAACATCATATTAATTTATTTTCCTCGAATGTGACCTACCGAATAATACTTGATGAAGACATAATTATGTTAATTATGGACCGATCTTGCGAGGGACTTTAAACATGTAACAAATCTATATTTTTTTTTCTGAAATAGTTTTACTGTTTCAATTTATGTGTTTTTTGTAGACGCTCGTACAAGAGTATTTGACGCAGAAGCATATTTGTGAAACGGAGGTAGCCGCTCTGGATGTTAAAAATTCTCACCCCTAAAAGGACTTATGTTGAACTGACGTGGTCTGTTATAGTGGCACATTTAGTAAATAAACTCATCGTCGATCCACATTCGAATGCACAAACGAAACTCTATGGTTCGACAGAATGATAGTTTATATTTGGTAAATTCATACAGAACGTTGATACGTATTATTTCAAAACGACTGAACGAAATGTAGAATTTAACATACTCGTGTCAACTGAAATACTACACTGGCTGCATTCAAGCAGATCATAACAGCCGAGCAGAGTAAAGAAATTACATTATTGAAAAAGAGACCACGTTGGTTGATAGATTTATATACGTAGCTAAATATCAAAAATGCGACAATTTTTATCGACGCATAGTTATCTTATTTAACCCATGACCAGGAATATGGATGTTACAAAGGACATTTATAATGATTTCAAAGAACATCAATCAAGACTACACGTTAACATGGATATAAACCGATATGGATCGTATCTATTCAAGTTCTAATTTATACAGCGTTTCATAAGTTATTGTCACCATCAAAAGAACTTAAGACAAACGAAAAGATTAAAATTGGAAGAAATGCAAGCATACATCAAAACGGACAGTTCATGTTTGAATAGGTAACACAACGGGTGCAACATATGGATCAGGATCTGCCTACCCTTCCGGAGCACCTTAGATCACTCCCAAATTTTGTTGGGGTTCGTGTTTTTAGTTTTCTATGTTGTATTTTGTATACTGTTATTTGTCTTTAGGACTTTTTGTTTTTCATTGTCAGTTTATTTTCGACTTATGATTATGATTGTTCCTTTGGTATCTTTGCCTCTCTCTTTAACATAAGAAACTATGCAAAATGAAAATGATAAACATAAATTAACAAAGGACTACTAGCAGCTACTTCGTTACTGACATGCCAACTCAAGACTTCAATCAAACTGATTGAAAGATCATGTCTTCATCATATAAAAATCAGCCAAAATCCCTCTCGTTAGGGATTAAGTATCATGCCATCATAAATTATACGAGAAGAACATAACCCGTATCATGATTTACATAATCTCGTAACAGTGCGGACGAAACCCAAACTTTTGTTGTTAATAATAGCGAATTATTTACCTTTAACATGTTTGTCATCGACTGTCGATAACAATGATTTCACTTTTCGATACATAAAATAAAATTTTCTTTCAAAAAAATTTCAAAGGAGTTTGTTTTAAACATTCTTGTTATCATTACACCAAATAGAAAAATAAATGTGCAGAGCTAATATCATTAAATTATTGAACAATATATTACATGTAACACATTTATAATAATAAAAAACCCGCCCACTCAGAACAAATCAGTGGTGTGTGTATAATCTATGAATTCAGGAATACGGTTCTGCCATCAAGCATGGGTTTTTATCACGTAAAATGGTTAGCTGAAAAGTTCCAGTTATATATGTAACACTCCCAAACGTGTCCTTCCCCCCAAACGTGTCCGATTCCCCCAAACGTGTCTATTCTCCCCAAACGTGTCCGTAATATTCAATATTCCCCAAACGTGTCCGATTTCATAACCCCCAAACGTGTCCGATAATTGTTATTCGCCAAAACGTGTCCATTATTACACGCCAGAACGTCTTACGTCTTTTACCGCTAATACATGCATGTCCCAAATCAATAACGTTTACGGCAATTCTATGATGGGGGACAAAGTTGATGAAGAGGGCATTTATTAGCATTAGTTTGTTCAATGCCAGTTGTTAATGATTAGCATGAAAAAAATATTGCAAATTCAATCTGTAACATATGAATTGACTTTTGACTGAAATTGATTATTGTCACCAAGTATTGCAAGTATTTCATGCTCATTTAGAGCGAACATACATATAATTCTTGTACTGTTGAATAAATCGTTTAATATGTAAATTATTTTGTACTAGTAAACTCCGTTGATGCATTTTATATTACTCCAAATATTGCACTTTTATTCAGCAGAATTGACTTCCTTTCTTTCAACAGTTCTGATATTTTAAAAGCCATTAAAATCATAAACTGGGAATCAGGTTTTTCAATAGATTTTAGGTTTCGAACATCATTAAAGACACACGAACAAGAGACATAACGTCCAGTGCCAAATATTTAATGCATTATTTGAAAGATATCATGTTAGCAATAAAATACATTTGTCATTTCGGGGCCTTTTATAGCTGAATATGCGGTAATGTTCTTTTATCATACCGGAAATTTAAAATAAAACCTAAATTCTAACGGTTATTCGGGATAAACATTAGTTGGGATTTTAATTTAAAAAATTCAAGAGCGAGTAAAAACGATTTTTTATGA